AAAAAAAACAAAAAAAAAAAAAATTTATTTTTGTCAGTATAATAACTATAATCAATGCAAAATACGTAAGACTAGTTTTTATTCTATGGTTAATGATAAATAGTTTATTGTCTCGGAGAAAATTATATTATATATAAAATGTGTTGACCTTTTAAAAGAAACATAAAAAATAAAAAATTTTTTAAATGAAGATATTCAACGAAATTTTATTAGATTTCATTAGACAAAAAAAAGAAATTCAAATAAATGTTTCAAGTCTCGAATTGATAATAATAATAAACGAATTGAATTATGTTTGTCTAAAATATAATTTCATATTTCAAAATATAAAATCGTTTAACATATTTGTCAATAATAATAAATTAAGAATAAATTTTTTTTGTTTTTCTTAATTTTCTAGATGGTCGAATAATATTAAAAGATTTTGAACGACAATCAAGTGTTATTTTTGGTCAACGTATAAATCTTCTATTACCATTTTATTGTTCATCAAAAAGAAGTTCAATTAGAAATGATAATAAACTTGTTATTGAACTTCATCGTGAAATAGATTTATTTCGTTCAAAAATTAATGAACTTCAAGCACAAATAATAACTTGTGAAAAATCCCAACGTTTATCTGAACAAGTTGAAATTGAATATGAAGATTTACTTAAATTTGTTTATGAACAATTAAATCAATATAAATTAAATGAAATAAATCAATTAAAACAAATACAAGCAAATAAACAATTAATAGAAAAATTATTTAATTGTTTATCTCTTTATATAAATCAATCAAAAGATGAACATATTTTATCAAAACTTAAATATGAATATGAACAACAATTTAAAGTTTTACCATCATCTTATCAACAAAATAGTTTTGAACCTTTTATTTTATCGAATAAAAAATATCAACAACATATTTAAATTTCAGTTAGATATTATTTATATTTAACGAGTTGATTGTTCTTTTTCTTTTTGTTTTTCGTTCTCACATATAAAAATAATCAATTGTTTTTTCGGTTTATTTTCATGTTAATGCAGATAAAAAGAGTATCAACAAATAAAGGATCAATAATTTATATTTTTATTTAAAAACTTCAAGTTGTTTATAAAAATTTACTGATTTCATTTAAATATCAATATTCACCATACAAACATATTTAACGACCAATAATATTAAGAATGATAAATTTATTTTTAAGCTTGTTAATTGAAAGAGTGCTAAATGCTACTTAAAATAACTGTTCATGAAATTCATATCGTCGAATATTGATTTAAACAGATAGAAATGTTGAGAGTTTTTCAAATTACGTCAGCAAGGAGTATCAGAGATATGGTATATTTTTAGAATTATAAATTGTTCTTTATTATTAATGACTTTTTATATTGAAAATATACTTGCCAGAATAGTTTTGTCCCTTGAAATAGTAAAAGTTGCATTAAATTAATTAACTTATTAAAATTTAAAATTCATTTTGTGGAATGTTAATTGTTTTTTTTCTTTCTGAAAAGGATTATTGTGACCTATTGTCGTCACTACAAATGCCTTCAGGGAAAAAGTTATTAAAAAACTTTTTCGAATTTTATATAAATGTTATTTTTCTTTGAGAACTCAAAAGTATAACTGTGTTTATGAGCTGGCAAAATTTTTGTTTTATATATATATTAAAAAGAAAAAATATTTCTTATGAAGACATACCGATTTATCTCTTAATTTTAATCAGCTCGGAAAATATTTCTACAATCCTTTTCTGCTTCCGTAATTTTTTTTTATTGTCACATCGTAGTGTGTATCCCTTATCTATTTTTATATGCACTTTTCCTATCATCACAGAATATAAATTTTGCACGGTCTGTAAAAAATAAAATTTATTCAAAACAAATAACTGAAATCCTCTTGTTATTAGAAATATACATCGCTCAGACGATGAACTTTTATATATTGTACTCAGTGGCACTTTAATATCAATTTGATAAATATAGGACCAAGATAATTTTATTCGATCTTGACATATAATAGGCATGGATCGAACTGAGGTACTTGGATTCAATCTTGATTTTCTTCTCAAAAAAAAACAACATCTTAGGCATTGCTTTCTTACAAGGATCATAATAAAATAACTTATAATTATTTCAGCATACCAACCGTTAGAATATCTCAAGTTTAACCATTTTCCTAGAACTTAGTTCTATGACTGTTGACAGACCTGTTAGTTAGACTTATACGATCTATATGAGAAGAATGTAGATTAAATCAGTGAATGTCTTTATTCCATTCTTTATTATCTAAACATCATTACAAATTACATGATAAAAGAAGACAAAGAAAAGTTACTTATAAAAAAGTAACATAAATATAATAAAAATAATTCCCTCGCCCCCCCCCGCCCCCCCCCCCCAACNTGTGGAAAAAATTGAATTCAAAGTTTTCAAAAAACTGACTTCAGATTCGGATTCTCCGACCTCGATTTACTTTCGTCAACCTTTATGGAATATCGTTGTTTTCTTATAAAACGGTGTTTTTCTTGCGAATGGGTTTGACTTGGTAACCGCACCTACGGTTATCATCACCGTTGCATCCCTAGTGGAGTAAGGTTGGAGTACGACTGGAGTAGAGTGGAGTACCGGTGGAGTATGAGTGGAGTATCGGTGGAGTATCAGTGGAGTAGAGTGGAGTACCGGTGGAGTATGAGTGGAGTACCGGTGAAGTAGTGTGGAGTAGCGGTGGAGTATGCACTCCTGGAGTATCGCCTTTTCCCCCTTGATAGTTATTCATTTATTCTTTCGTTAATCGAAAATAAAAGAATGATATCGTATGAAGATCTATCATTAATTAAAACCTTTGGTGAATATGTCAAAAAATCTTGAAGAATATCAAAAGTCATACTGATTAATGAAACTATCTATGAACTTTCAAACGGTCATCCCACACAAAATCATGAGGATTAGTCTTTTCATCCATTATTTTTATATATGAAATATTTTTTGATACATTAGAATATATTAGTGAAAAATATTATTAACAATATCATTAAACCTAATCTGAATGTATCAGTATCGAAATCAAACAGACTAATTTTATTGTTCTTGCAATTTTTTGAACTATTTAGAAAAATTTTACTAATGATTAATCTTCATATGGCATCAATTTCTAGTTTGGCCTTGAAAGAAGAAAAAGAAATGCCTATGAAATATTTCGTTGTTATTTTATAAATTTATCGTTAATTATTCATATTTTCACCATGAAAATAAAGAAATACATGTCATATGTTTTTTTCCTAATAAATTAATAATAAATAGTTTTGTTTAAGAATTGGTTTCCTGTAATCCTTAATAATAACTGAACATAACTACTATTTTCTATAATTTCATTGTGACTCAATCGACTTCGATATGAATGGACATTGTGGATTGTCATTTGTCATTTCTCATTTGTCATTTATTATATGCACAGAAAACTTAACGTATCTATCTGTTATAATAATTGCAAGTGAGTTTGGGTGATGTCACTTGTGGATAATTCTCTAAAATAGTTATTTCGAGTGCATTATAAGACTGATATATAAGAGTAAGTGATCTATCGTTAAAATCAACAGTTGTTGTTATACAAAAGTAAAAAATTAATTAAATAAATAACAAATAGAGAAGAATAATATTTCGTTATTCGATATATTTGTTTTAATATAATATAATATCAATGATTTTATCTGTGTATGATTTAATTTTTTAGACGTTCACTTGTTCGACAACATAAAGTTAAATTTCATAAAAGATCAAAAGAAATCCAAGAAGATTTGGTTTGTTATATATAATTAATTTTGTTTTCATTTAAATATTTTTTGATTTTTAAATGTTAGAAATTCGATATAAAAATTCTTGAATCAATCGGTGATGTTAATAATAAAAATTGTTTTGAACAATCAGTAAAAGAAGAAACAATAAAAGAAAATGCTTTTAAAATGTTAAAAGAGTTTAAACAAAAAATGATATTAGAAAAAGATAAAGAAAAAGAAGTTGATGGAATGTTTCCGTAAGTTTTTCTCTTTAATAAATAAATATTTCTATATTTATATTATTATTTTAAAGAGAAGAAATTGCTAAACAATGGTATAGTTGGGAACAAGAATGGAATCGTGATAAAGAATTACGTGATAAATTAATTCATCAAATTCTAAATCAAAGACAAAAACAAATTATAGAAAAATTAGAAAAATTAAAAGAACAACAACAATATATATATGAAAGACAACGAACACTTATTAATGATATGCAACAAGCAAGAAAATATGATATTATTGAAAAACAAAAACAAATCAAAGAAAGAGAAGAAATAAAACAAGATTCATCAAGACAAGTATTCAAGTTTTTTTTTCTTTTATTAATTGAATTAGACATTGAATCTTTTTTTGTTTTTGTTTTTTATTTTTGTTTTAAGATATCATTTTTACAACAAAAACAAAGACAATCTCAATTAGAATTAGAAAAACAAGATACTTTTGAATCTGAAGAAAAAAAATCAATACATGATTTTATAGAAAAAGTCCAAACTCCTATAACTACTACGACTGTTGAACCTAAAGTCATTTTTTCTTCTATTATTAATTATGTTTTTTCATTAGAAAATTTTTTTGTTTTCATTTAGTTTTACGGTCGTCGTCGAGTTAATTGGAATTAATCAATATTTTTTCTTGTTCATATTTTTGTACATTTTATGTTTATTAATTCAATAATTTGAAAATTGAAAGAAAACAAAAGTCGAGAGAAGACGAATTGATTCGCATTTTCTTTTAAAACTAACATAAAGAATATTTTTTTTTTAAAACAAAAATTATTTGATTCATCGACTATTGCGTCGCTCAAAAAAAAAAATAATATCAAGATAAAGAATGAAAATTTTTTATCATAGTTATTTTTATTATTCATGAAAATGATAAAAGATTACAGTTTGAAATTAATTATCTTTGTTTTATAGAAAATTCAATAATTTACATTCATAAAACAATTATTCTAAAATAATTCATTAATAAATTAATCATTTTAAGTATCTTTTAAATTTTTTTTTTTTTTATTTTATCATAAAATCTATTGAGATTTTAAAGATACGATTAAGAGACTCTCAATGTCATGGATATACTTATTCAAATGTTATCTTTTATCATTATTCATAGAACACATTATATAAATGTATGTGTATGTTTTATTATTAAATATCTATTCAAATATGCAAATAATGTTTATTTCAATAGTCAGTTTTGTTATTCTCATTATAATTTGTTCGATTAACAGTCTATGTACACAGTCTCAATGTAATGCACAACAATCTGGTTCAACATGTTGTTTTCAATTGGGTTGTTGTCCAGCTGTTAACAATGTTTGTTGTTCGAATGATTTAACAAGTTGTTGTTCAACTCAATATCCAGTTTGTTGTGGTACTGGAAAAGGTTGTTGTCGTCGAGAATATCCAGTATGTTGTTCCACTTATTGTTGTTCATCTGGTTCATATTGTTGTGGAAAAAAATGTTGTCGAAGAAATCTATCAACAGCTCGTCTCATTGAAATAAATGACGGAATATCAAAAATGACTCAATACCAACAAATTATTATGAACATGTATTATTCATAGAATAACAAGTCTTTTTTTTTCATAACGTCTTACTTAAGTTTTTAAAAAAAATTTTTATAATATGTCAAATGATGGACAAGGATAAATTTCACAGCAAAAGTGACACCATTTGATAATTTTAAGAAAAATCTTAATAATTATACATCGTTTTACAAGTAACTAATTCTTCTATTTAATTGTATAATTACAATGGTTAGGATACCATATTTCAACTGACTCGAATGTGTACATAATGACGAATATATTTGGTATAGTATATATACAATAACTCTCATTAGATACTATATCACCAAACTGACTAACGGAACTACTTATATATATATATATATCATTCAATGTGACAGAAAGTTTTTTTTAAAACTGATTATAAAACTAAGTAGTATACATATGATTTAGAGTAATTTTTCTATAGATATTTGCCAAATATATAGATATAGATAAACTTGGATAGCTGCCTAAGATACTATTGTTTCTATATTATGCGGAAAGATAAATTACTTAATAGGCATTATCAACTCAATGAAAATAAACAACTAAAAATTATTCGAGTAAAACTTCTTTCATATTTAGTATCATCATACACACACACACACACATATATATATATATATAGTTATGATTTAGTTTATGATGTTTTTTTATAGATTAAATGATAAAATTACTTTGAGTTCATATAAGATTTATGTGTATGTTGATAAAAACAATTATGATAGACGATATAAAGCTTATGATGATTGATGTTAAACAATTTGAAATCAACTAAAATTATTTTTCTTTAAGCGCCATAGAGTATTGTTGAGACATGCTAGCATTGTTTTAGTAAATATCATAGAGATGTTCTAAGCATTTTTTATTAAGATACGTTCGAATACGTTACCTTAGAAATATAATTATGAGTTTTTTATGCAATTATTAATAAGATATCGTTTGTTTGTTATTGAAAATGTTTTCTACGAACAATCATGTTTCTAACTAATACAAAACTCTTTCTGTATTAAAAGATTAAAATACATCATCCTATAATGATCACGTTCTATGGTTATAAAAATAAATTTTCTTGCGATGAAAGTACGAACAAATTTCTACCAAACACTTTTTTTTATTATTTGTTTTTTTTTAAACATTTTTCATTAGTGTAAATCAAACATTTGAATCAATTCTTTCTATTCTCTATTTAATTTTTTCAGAATTGTGAAGAACTAAAATTCAATATAGTTCATTCGTTCGCATTATTGACAGATAACTTTGAAATGAATCACATAGGATAATATTGATGACTATCGTTCGAAATAATATTATAGAGTTAAATATCAACATTGTTTTTATGTTATAATGATATTTAATATATTATGGAAAAACAATTAAAAATAATATTATTATAATATAAATATTCATTTATTTTAAATACCATTTCTTATGACAATTCAATTCGAAATTGGAACATCCAATTCAAGATAATTCTGCTATGATAGCGAACTGATAGATTGTTAGAGAAAATACTATGATAAAAAAAAATGAGGCAAATTTATTAAAATCATTATATTTAGAAAAAAAAAAATAAACACTTTTGAATAATAACAATGAAAATTGTTGACATAACATTTCAAAATAAAAAAACATATATCTTTCATGAATAAATGTTGTAGAAGATAAACATACTTTATTTTTCAATAATATCTTCAATCAACATAATGAATATAAAGTTTAATCTATTTATTGACAATAGAGTCAATGAAGAAATATTTTTAAAAATTTTTATTTATTTTATAATTTCATTTATCCTAATTTTATCAAACGAAAAATCAGTACAAATGTTTTTTTTCTTACGAGAAATAGAAATTACTAAAAACAAAAAAAAAAAAAAAGAAAAAATAAATTTACATTAATACATCTACACGCTAATTTTTTTTTATTAATCAATTTTAATGTTCAAGGTTTTTTGATACATTAGCTTCATGCATTAATCGAATTATGTCTTTTCGAGTTAAAATACCATGAAGACGACTAAAAACAAATTTAGATTTTTTTTTTGTTATTTCGATAATAAAATAGAAAACAAAACAAAAAAAATGAATTTTCTTACCCATTTTTTGTAACAAATATTTGTCGACAACCTAATTTTCTAAACATATCTACTACAGCTTCCATTGGTGTTTGATCTGTTACAATAATTGGTGCTCGATCAACTAATTTATGTAATTTTAAAATTTTTGATGATTGTAATGCTAATGATGCTCGACGCATTCCTAATGATGATGGTTGTCCAGATTTATTTAATAAATTTGACATTGATACAACGGAAAATTTTCGATTTAACGAAGGTTTTGATTGAATTTGTGTTGATTGAATTTTTCGTGATTTAAGTACGGCTAATAAATCACGTCGTTGAACTTGACCAACAATACAAGGAAAATCTTCACTAATAATAACAGGATAAATTGAATGTGGATGACGATGAAGAAGTTTATCTATTTGAGCTATTGTCATACCATCTTGAATAATACACGCTAATGGAACAGTTTCATCAGAACGATTTGCACGTACGGCTTCACCAGCCTTTAGAGTAAATCGAAAACTTTCACGGTTTTCTAAACACAAACAAAAATAATATTCATTTATCTTTTTATTTTTCTTATTACCTAAATATGGATAACCACTTAATTTAACATTCTCTTCATAAATTCCTTCACCAAATGCATCTCCAACCCATTTAGCTGCTAATGCTGTAACCATCAATGGAACAATATAAGATAAACCACCCGTGACTTCACTCATAATAACAACAAGAGACACAGTCATTCGACTAACTCCACCTAAAAAAGCACATGCACCAACAACTGCATATAATCCAGGTGTAACACAATGTTCATTTGAAACTCCACATTCATGTCTTAGTATAGCTAAATGTTGATTTCGAAATGCTATTTGTTCAGTTATAATACCGATAAGACGACCAGCAATAGCTCCTATTGAAATACTGGGAATGATTAAACCTGATGGAATTTTTGTACCAATAGTAAAAACAATAAGAGTTATTTGAACAATTAATGCCCAAAATAATTGCCAAATAGCACGATGAATACCCGGACCAGCAAGAGCAGCATATAATTTAGCTGTAGCTGTTCCAATTGGTTTGTCTCGTTCATAATCACTACAAATATTTATTAGAAAAGAAAAACTCGTATATATCTATAATTATGACAATTAAAACAAAAAAAAAAGATAAAATAAAAAAAAATTTATACCATAAATCCATATGATCATCTACACGACATTGTCCAACTAATCGTCTGATTAATTCAGGCATTGTTAATCTTAAATACAGATTTGGATAACAAATAATAGCTGTTATTAAAGTTAAAATAATAACTTCTGCACGTGGATATTGTCCAATTCGACTTGTTTTTTTATATTTTAACCAACGAATATTTGTTTTTATAAATAACGTTCCCCATAATCCACCTATTATTCCAAGACAAATAAACGGAACAACTTCAAATGTTGCCCATGGTACATTATATTCAACAGGAAATTGAATTTCATGTCCATTACCATATGGATTTATTGTACGTACAACAAGAGCACCAATCATACAACAAAAAAATGTTCGCCATAATGTTTTATATGGAAAATAATAACTTATTTCTTCTAAACCAAATAGAATACCACCAATTGGTGCACCAAATGCAACAGAAACACCTGTTGCAGCTGCTGCAGATAATATTTCACGTTTACGTGCTTCATTATGACCATATTTTGGAAAAAGTTCTAAATATATAAACGAACTTAATAATTTTTACAATAAAAAAAAAAAAAAAAAAAACTCCATGTTAATCTTACTTGAAAAAAGATTTCCACAACAACAAGATATATGTACAAATGGACCTTCTTTTCCTACAATGAGACCTGCACTTGTTGCAAATATCATACCAATACTTTTAATAAAAAATGTCCATTTGCCCAAATAACCATACATTATAAAACCTGATAGAATTGTTTTTATTTCAGGAATTCCTAAAAAACAAATATATTTTATATTTTGAATAATTCAATTATTCATAAACGTTTATTTATAATAATATTTACCTGATCCACTTGCATATGGAGCAGAACCAACAACAAGACAAACAATAAAAACAGAATAAATAACAGACCAGAATATAAACATAAAATACCGGAAAAACCAAGCACTAACCGATAATTCATTCATACCAAATATTTCAGACCATGACTTCCACTAAAACAAAATAAAAGACAAATATTTACTTAAATTATAATCAATATTGAAAATTCTTTTTTTGTTTTTTTTTAATATTATAAATGATTTACATATTCACATATTTCACTATGAACATCATCAAATTCAACATCTCTCGAACCCCAACAACATTGTTCTCGATTAAGCCAAAATGCTGGTGTGCAAACACCAGTTCGCCAATGACTCATCCATTTTGCTCCAATGTCAACAAAACCAGCTACAAGACCTAAAATAAAACAACAACAATAACAACAACAACATGAATTATATTAAATAAATGTCTATTTACCAGCTGATACACCAACTAATAATACACAAATCCATCCACTCCATGCATCAAACCAAAATGTAAATCGTTGTCGCCAACCATCTCGTCTTTGTGCACGTAAATTACGATGACGAATACGATTTCTCATTAAATCTTTTAACCAATCGATAGTTTCAAAATTTTCATAATGTTTACGAACAACATATGTTACATCAGTTACTAAAAGCAATTAGAACAAAGATAAGTAAATATAATAAGAAAATATTTTTATAAACCTTCTTCATCAAATTGATTTTTTGATGGACTACTAACACCATGATTGGGATCAATCATTGTAACAGTAGTTGTAGTGCCAGGTGCAATACTATTAAGTTCAACTTCTTCACCACTATCATCTTGATCAATACTTGATAAAATTCTTTCATTTTCATGATTTACTTCATCGCCCTCATCATCTTCAACACTTGGTACTGG